ATATTCCACACGTCAAACCCAAAGCATCGACCCCCGAAGCCTGCAGCGTCTGAAGTGTTGTCGTTATTGCCCGGCGTTGTGCAAATGTCAACAGCAGGTGACTTTAATCAGTGCGATGAACTTTAGGCGGAAAGTTTCGAGCGGCGCGGCCGAAAGACGTTCGACTGTTCCTAATTGAATCATGCAGGAGGATGAGACTCACGAGCGAGACTGGTGGCGGTGCCAGTTGACTGCGAATGTCTCCAACTCTTTGCCATTCCTTTCGCACGTCTCGTTGTATGAGTCCCAAGCCAAATATTACGCTACCGCTTGATTTTGCCACGTAACCAGGATTGGGGGAGGAGCGTGCCATTCTTAAAAAATTCCTCTCAGGGCGTTCATAAAATTTTTCTTTTCCAAGGCAAAGTTGCCAAAGGTCCTTGGTTTTGAAACGTCCCTGACTTCGGCTAGAACGTTGATTCTCTGTGGGTGTGATTTCATCTCACAACACCCATTATTCAGTGGCGAGCCATGCACTTGTGGAAACATCGTGTGTCTTTTCGTTCCGACTAAGCAGGGAGCGGCGCAGAATCTGACTCAGATCCCTGCATCCTGCACGCTCACGAAACGGCACCCGCTTTTTGCCGTGCAAAAACGACCCGCTACTCTTCTCATTTCTTCGAGACGCTAAATCAATCTTGCAAGATCTCTGGTCTTCCTGTTGGCTCTTTGCTCTTTGACCGTCCTCGCATCCCCTTATTCCATCGCGTTCATCCTGTCTCCCTCTCTGCCTTCTTCTTCTTCTTCTTCTTCTTCTTCTTCTTCTTCTTCTTCTTCTTCTTCTTCGCCCGTCGCGACGCGCAGACCCAGATTAGCGCATGCAATGCCTCGCTTTGTGTTCCTCGCTGTGACAAAAGGTGTCTCGGGGATGGATGCACCGGGGCGCCTGTCTGCTCCAGATAACACACACACACACACACACACACACACACACACACGCAGAGCCGCCCGCGGTCAAGGAGGTTGCGCGAGATGCATTTTGCAGCCGAAGGCAAACATGAAGTGCGCCGCAGACGACACTGACTGACTTTCTCTCTCTCCCTTCGCGAATGAGAATGTCCCTCCCCATCTGGCCGTTTTAAAAGCGGCGCACCGCGTCGTGAAAAGCTGTAAAAACGAAGTAAAAAAAAAACAACGAAAAAGCCGCAAAAGGCAAACACGACAACGGGGAATTAATGACAGAGAAATCGAACGCGGTTCCGTACAGCGGGTCGGTAACTGCAACAAGGAGACCCGAACTGGTGTGTGTACATGTGTGTGTGTGTGTGTGTGTGTGTGTGTGTGTGTGTGTGTGTGTGTGTGTGTAAAATGGTAGGGGTAGGGGGGCGTAAATGGGAATGGTTGCGGGAGTCTCCAGCTTTGGATGTTTCGATAATTTAGAGATCAAAATGGGATTTTCTGCCAAAATTTTCTCATGGTTTCCATAATGGTAAAGAATTTCTACGGATGTTACCGTTTGTTGCGTAAACCCCCTTTTTGTTTGGGTCCCTTTGCGCCCCTATGCGCAGTAACTGGACAATTTCCGACTTCCTGGCCCGGGCATTATCTTTCACAGCGAACCCCCCTCCCTCTTGCATCGGAGTGCAACGCTCGACAACACAAATATCATTTTTATCTTTGCTTTGCCCTCTTTTTGTGTTTTCGCCGCTGTCTCGGCCTGTCTGGCCGGGACACGTTCGGGAAAGCAAGAGTGCTTGCCTTTTCCGCGCTGTTCTTCGCGACGCCGCGACAGAGGACGCGCCCGTTTTTCCAAACGCACACTCACGCGGCTTACCTTCACCGAAGGCAAGGCAGCTCATTTCGAGATAATCGATTGCAGGTGGAGCGGTTGTCGCATTGTGGCCAATCGCATTGTCGGCGTCATGTCGCGAGGTGCAGGTGGCAGCGAGCCTCGTCGCCCGGTGAGTCCGAAACCCGTTTTCCCTATGCAAAGCAGACAGTCTGCAACTTTGTGACTATTCGCCAACAGTGCGACCAATGTAGAACTTGCTTTTATCGACAAAGTGGGAGAAGGAAGTTCCATTCAATCATTTTAAATAGACTGTGTGTGCGTCATATCGAATAGATGTGCCAACAGTCAAAGTCAAACATTTCAACCGGCGTAGTGGCGCCGCTCTGACGTCATTATCTGAAATTGGAGAAAAATAGTCGGTCCGTGGTGCCATATGCCTTTTGTCCACTATAATCATGATGCGGTTGAAACCGGCTGTTGGACTGTAGCAACTACTTCTCGACAATTGACGTCTAATCCAAGTTCCTGTTCTGTTCAACTACTATGTGTCTATCATTCCTAGCCATGCCTGTCATGTTCATGTTGTGTGCGGAAAGCTTACGTACCTCGGCTTACCATCAGCCGCGTCGAAATAATGTGCAAAGGGAATGCCGGGGACACGAACGCGCTGATTATCTAATTGGTACGTTGCCCCCTTTGACTGTTGGGTGGCCGCGTTTGACTCGATGCAAGTGAGGAAGGGCAGTATGTCTTTGTGTGCCGCGGCGCTGCAGCGTTGATAACACAGTTTGCCCTGCTCAAACGCCTCAGGTGCCATTTGGCGGTATTTTTACCCGCGAAAGACCGTCGCTCGTCGACCAGCGTAAATACGGGTAGGTCAAGCTTCCGCGTCACGTCACACTCTCAGAAAAAAATGTTTCTTATCACCAAACATTTTTTAAAAAAATCAGTGTTGAAAACAGAAAAATTAAGTCGTTTCATGACGTTAAATTTCGACATGGATTCAAAAGAAATGTTCTATTTTATTTTCCCCACGAATTTGTGTTTGTGTATAACGCACAAAAAAATGAAACCCATTTTTTTCGCTGTTTTATCTGGAAACTCAAAGTTCTCGTAAAAGAAAAGGAAAGTACTTAATTCGCGAGGTGGCGAGTGGATTTTTTTTATCTTTCTTTGTCTGCAGACTGATGCGCGTCTCGACGCATGACACTTGCATTGTCCACTGATAAGAGCGTAGGGCATGCAACCCTTAAGCCCCATGCAGTATAAAAATATATCATGCCCTCAATTGCACTTTCAAGGAAAAAGGTGCGCCAGTCTTGAAAATGAACTTAAAGCTTTTTAGACCCCCCTCCCCCCCTTTCAATTGCCATGAAAAATCCTTTTGTTTCTTTCTCTTGAAAAGAGTTTCATTTCTTCAATCTGCAAACAGAAGGTTAATTGATGAAAACATTCCTGTGAACCATTTCAAAACCGAATAAAATAGCGCTCATCATGTCATATCTATGAATCATTTTTTTGTTTTGCGAGTCTGGTTCATAAATTTGAGGTCGTCCACACCTTGTGGCGTTACAAGGCAGTTTGGTTAGGCGGAGGCGCAGTTGCATAAAGCAAGCCCCCCGCTATCTTATCGCTGTAGATTACTCTATCCTTGGGGCCCGAGGTTTTTGACCTACATCACTGTAACGCGCCAAGATACGCCAAACGCGTTATTTCGCACCCATGATCTAGATTTTGCCAATGTCTTTTTAAGTGCGCGGCGGGAAGCCCCATCGGCGAAAACGACAAACGACGCGAAAACATGACCTCATTCCTCTGTGCTCCTCTGTGCAAAAAGTGATAGAATCAAAATGCAACCCCAATGAATGAATGAATGAATGAATGAATGAATGAATGAATGAATGAATGAATGAATGAATGAATGAATGAATGAATGAATGCGAAAAAGATTGGGTCCTAGAATAAAGAGCACTGTGAGGGGCACTCCCACAAGGATAAGACCATGGTCCACCTTTGTCCTCGTGACGTCTGTGAAAAGTTTCTTATTTAGAAAATTTCAAACGAGCTGAAGCCGCGGCAATCAATCTCAGTTTGGGAAATTCCAAAGTTTTCCGAAAACTCGGTAGCGGCCTTCCTTTTTTTTTCGCTGACGGGTAACTTTGATTGTTGTCGCGTCCGAAAGTCGATTGGAGGAACAAACATCCTCCGACACTGTTACACAAAGGCGTAATCACGTCGAAGCGAGTGACCGCCGCGTCTTGTCCTTGAGGTACCCGGCGAGTCCGAGTCCGCCAATGACTCACCAGAGCAACAATCCCTGAAGCACATTGTCAAAAAGGTCATTGCGTCCGAGAAAAACATGTCTGGCCAGATACGGACGGGCAGTTGGTCGCTCTGTTGCAGTTGTGGTGTTGCAGTGTGCAAAAATTTCATGGAGAGAGAGAGAGAGAGAGAGAGAGAGAGAGAGAGAGAGAGAGAGAGAGAGAGCGAGAGAGAGAGCGAGAGAGAGAGAGAGAGAGAGAGAGAGAAGAGAGAGAGAAAGGGAATCTTTTCAGGCCCAGGGACCCTAACCCTTCATTGATGGGCCAGGAGCGCATTGCAGATGACCAGGCCAGCAGGCACCCGCATTTGCGTGACTGCATACGGGGGCACACCAGCCAAACCGCAAAACCCTAAAACCCTGGCCTCGTGCGCCGCTGCCGTGGCAGTGCCGTGGCAATGGCTGCCGTGTTGTGGCCAATAATACACTTTGACGCGTCCGTCCGTCGGTTTGGCCGCGGTCCCTGGGGTCCCAGAACTCGCTCCGCCATGTGTCTTTGTGTGCGGAAGGTCAGGGGAAGGGGATGTTATTGCACTACACGTCGCAATCGCGACCTGAATATCGCGTCTTCTTCTTCTTCTTCTTCTTCTTCTTCTTCTTCGGCGCGAATAAAGCCGAACGGGTTACAGCTAATTAACGCATAGTGACACTCCGCGACGTAAGATGCGTTCCGTGATGCAAGGGGAGTGGATGTGCGCCTCTCTCTCCTCCGGTGCATCACTCGGGGCGCAGCGACGGACACACACACACACAAACGCAAACGCACACAGACGGGCCGGCGTGGACGAAGGGCGGGCAGCCTTGCGCGGGCCCCCCCACCTCCTTGCCGGCAGTGAGGCTCTCTGCCGCGCCGCCGCTGCCGCCTCTGCTGCCTACCCGCCCCGCCCGGCCCGCCAGTCAGCAGTAACCGCGCGAGCGAGCCACACGAAGCGTAGCGCCTTTGCCGGCCGTCGCGTCTCCTCCGCGTCTCCCGTTCGTCTTACGGTGTGCCGCCAGCCCAGCTAGTGCAGCCCTTTTGGATTACGTGTGTGTGACAAGTGCAGCAACGCAGTGCGACAGTGCGACCAAGAGAGTGACGACAGTGCGACGGCAGTGCAACGGCAGTGCAGTGCCACAGTGGATTTCTCGGCCGCGCTGTCCGCCGCCCACGCCATCGCCTCGCTAGGTGAGGCCGGAGTGCCGGTGTGCGTGTGTGTGTGTGCGTGTGTGTGTGTGTGTGCGTTTCGGCGGCGGCAAGAGGATAGCCGGCCCGCCGACGCCGCCAGTGCACCGACAGGTTCGCCGAAAATGATCGGCCGTTTTCTTAAGACGTTCCGATCAGGAGGGAATGCAAGACGAACGACAGACTCTGGCGAAGACCGCGCTTACAGTGTGGCCTTTACAATGCACCGGATCGTGCGACACTTTGGCATTCCCCCTGCTCACAGTGGCGCGGCAGACCGGCGCCGGCGGTCAAAATCCCGGACGCGTTTTGAGCTCCAGAGTCGCTGAATGGGACTCGAACCGAACGTGTGACCCCACCAATGGATTGCTCTCCGAACGAGGAACCCATTGGTGGGGTCACACGTTCGGTTCGAGTCCTGTTCAGCGACTCTGGAGCTCAAAACGCGTCTGGCGCTTCGGCCGCCGGCGCCGGTCCCCCGGTCCGGCGTGCGGCGTGCGTCAGTGCATGCACCGCATCCTCGTCGCTCACTGCCGTTTTCCGAAGCGGAGTAAAACGATGAATATAAAGATAAACCCTGTCGGTGTGCCGGAGTGTGCGTTTGTTGCGTGTGCGTTTGTTGGCGTGCAACTGCCCGATCCTCCGCATGTGAACATGGACGCAGTTTTGCTCGTGTGTTGTGACGGCCGCTCTTGTTGTGGTGCCCTTGGCGCGCGGCCCAGCGCAGGTCCATCTCTCTCTCTCTCTCTCTCTCTCTCTCTCTCTCTCTCTCTCTCTCTCTCTCTCTCTCTCTCTCTCTCTCTCTCTCTCTCTCTCTTCCCTCGGCAGGAGGCGGCGGCGGCCACCCTGAGCAAGCGCGCAGGCCGCGCAGGCGAGCAAGGGCCCCTGCAAGGTCGGTGCGCGTACACTGACCCGGCCACACAGCCACGTCGCGCCGTGCGCCCACCGCGCGCCCCATCACGCTCTCTCTCTCTCTCTCTCTCTCTCTCTCTCTCTCTCTCTCTCTCTCTCTCTCTCTCTCTCTCTGGCTGTCGAGTACACAGCCCCGCGGACCGCATCAAGGACCGGCCAAAAAATTACACACGTCTGGCACCTAGGGAGCGGCGGAGAGAGAGAGAGAGAGAGAGAGAGAGAGAGAGAGAGAGAGAGAGAGAGAGAGAGAAGAGAGAGAGAGAGCGTTGGGAAGGATGCCGGCCGGCTATTCCGATGACGAAACGCCGAGCGCGCGCTTTTCGCCGAACCGCGCGGCAAAAGTGCCCCAAACGTGTCAAAATGGCGTTGAATTCGAAGACGGATTTCGCGGGAAATTGACAGACACGTTTCCTAGTGGCGACACTGCCCGGTGCTGACCGCGCGGTCGTCGCGATGAGACAGTGGATCCCGATTTATACATGTTACGTAATTTGTGCAAGCCCGTCTGTCCGTCCGTTCGTCTGTCCGCGAGACTTGTTGCTCGGGCACCCTGCAGTCCTTGCACTTGGCTGGCGGGGGAGGGGGGGGGGATTCGGAACGAGGCGGACTGCCTTGTCGACGTCTCTCTCGCACGCGTTGCCATGCCAACGCGTGCGATAACGTATACTCCGCTCACACCGGGTATACCTCATCCGCCGCCCTGGCGTGCGCCGGGCACAACGGAGAGAAAAATAAAAATAATTTCGGCCGGTAGTTGAACCCGAGCCCACTACAGTTGCGGAGCCAATTACGGAAGTGTGCTGCTCTTATCGCGAATCGGGCGCACGCCTCATTGCGTCCGCGGCGATAACGCGACGATGTCGCGACCACGTCTGCGCGGACGGACTATACCGGCGCGCGCGCCGACTATACCGCCATGGCGGTGCCTCGCCGAGGTCACCGCCTGCTCTCTGCTCCGTGCTGACTGTGCTGACGTAACCGTGCCCGCGAACTTGAGTCATGCCCCCCCTCCCCCGCCCGCCGCCGCGCCCCGCGCCTCTCGCCCCGACAGGATTGCCTTGGTGCTGCAGTCTTTGTCTCGCTGCTCCTCTTCCTCCCCTTCCTTCCTTCGTCCGGTCTTTCTTTATTCCTTGCTCCTTCCTTTTTCCGCCCTTCTGTCTTCTGTGTCAATCATGGCGCCCCTATTTCAAGTTTACTATTACTATTGCTTTTGTCATTGCTTTTGTCATTGCTATTGCCATTGCTATTGCCATTGCTATTGCCATTGCTATTGCCATTGATATTGCCATTGCTATTGCTCTTGCTATTGCTTTTGCAATTGCTTTTGTCATTGCTTTTGTCATTGCTATTGCCATTGGTATTGCCATTGCCATTACTATTGCCATTGCTATTGCAGTTGCTTTTGTCATTACTATTGCTTTTGCAACTGCTGTTGCTATTGGCATTGCAATTGCTATTGCCACTGCTTTTGCAATTGCTATTGCCAGTACTATTGCTCCACTTTTTCTCGAAAGCTGGCTACAGACTAGCCCTCAAGATTAGCATGTTTCCCAAATAAGTTGAGCAACTGTTCGTGAGCTCGAGCGAAGATAATAGTTCGTCATTTACTAAGCTATTATTCGCGCATGAATGTAGTAAAGTGTTTGTACAACCTGACACTTGCTCTACATACTTCACGAGGATTTCTTTTTATAGTGCCTACCTTTCATGTCCTTTCCTCCTCCTTGCACCCACTCCTCCTTTCCTGTTTATCTCCCTTCCTCTTCATCCTTCCCCCTTCCTCCACCCCTTCGCGCTGACGCGTCCTCCGCGGCGGGGAATTCCACGGCCTCCTCGCTCTGTCTCTCTCGCACTCATGGGGCGTGCCGTATGGGTACGAGAGAGACAGAGCGACGAACACGGCTCTAGGAATGAGTCTGCTGCTGATGATTCGTTTTTGATCGGGCTGGCCCGCTTCGGCGTGGCTCCACCGCTTTAGCAGTGCTTAGCAGTGCTTTAGTGGCGCGTTGCGTAACGCGACCGATGGTGAGCGCTCGTCCAAGTATGAGGAAGACTGCCGCGCATGCGCAAGGCTACGCAAGGCGAGCCAGCAAGCCGGCAAGCGGCGGCGCGTCGGCGGAAGGTTTACCGGCGACACACGGCGGTGACACAAGTGGACTGGTTGCATCATTGGCGTGCAGTGCTTCGCCTGCCTCTAGCAGTGCAGCGGATCGATGATACAGTCTTTATCGCTCTGTCTCTCTCGCACGGCACGCCCTATGACTTCACAGTCATAGGGCTGTGTCTCTCGGATCTCTGTCTCTCGAGAGACAGATCGACGAAAACGACTCTCCGTCTGCAGACGATGCACATACTCATAGCACTATTACCGTCCCCGCCCACGAACAGGCTAGCGCACCCCGCCGGGTCATGAGTCACTCATCCACGGTTCTGGGATGCCTGATAACGCCAGGCACGTCCCTACCTGCCGAGCCACGCCGCGTCGCTCTGTCTCTGTCGCACTCGCTGGCGGCCCGCTGGGGTGAGAGAGAGACGGATGATCCTTGGGAGCTGCGTTGCGTAACCACGCACAGGATTTGGGCAGGCAGCTAGCCGCCGGTCAACTGGGCAGGGCAGGCCGCGTGGGGAACGCAGCGCGCGCACAGTGGGCCAGAAGACCGGTGGAGGCGGACGAAACTCTAGACGCGTTTCGAGCCCCAGAGTCGCTAAATGGGACTCGAACCGAACGTGTGACCCCACCAATGGATTGCTCTCCGAACGAGAAATCCAATGGTGGGGTCACACGTTCGGTTCGAGTCCTGCTTAGCGACTCTGGAGCTCGAAACGCGTCCAGAGTTTTGGCCGCCTCCGCCGGTCTTCCGGCCCACTGTGCGGCCTGCCCTTGAGACGGCCGAGTCCAGGCTGGCCTGGCCGCGCCGGCCGGCGGGAAGCACGCTGGAAGGCTTGGGGCATGGCTTGGGGTGGGGGGAGGTCGAAGGACGCTCCGACGTTCGGACTGGTCGAGCTTCCCCCGGTAAGTGCTTGAGGAAGGCAGTCCCTGACGTAACCAGGCACTGCGAGGGTCAAGGCCAGTAGCCCTTCGTCGGCCCGCAGGGCTTGCAAGGGTGCGAGAGAGACGGAGCGAGAAAAGCGCTGGTCGGGCTCAACCTGCTCAGAAATTTCGTGCGGGGCCGCGCGGTGACTGGACACTCCAGAGACTCCGAATGCGTCATCAGAGACCTGGCAATGACACAATGTTGCAGACTGCCCCCTCCCCCTTTTTTTGCGTTTCTCCTCCTCCACACAGTGGGCCAGAAGACCGGTGGAGGCGGACAAAACTCTCGACGCGTTTTGAGCTCCAGAGTCGCTAAATGGGACTCGAACCGAACGTGTGACCCCACCAACTTCTAGCGTAGTCTTCCTCATTTCAAGCGTTACGTCTTGAAGCGCAACTCTAGGGCTCGGCTCGAGAACGTTACGATTCAGTTTCCCTGGCCTCTTCGTCTGCCTCGTCCTCCTCCTCCGTCGGCGTCCTCTGCGTCTCCCCGTCCGCCCCGTCCCGCTCTAGGCGCTGGGAGGTCCAATGTCAGGTGGTTGTTGACCTCACGTTAGCTGTGCCGGCCGTGGCAGGGCCTTGCCGCTGCGTCGCGGGCGTGGCGCGGCGCGGCGTGGCTTGGTGCGGGCGTCGGCGCGGTGCGGGCGAGAGGCCCAACCTGCCCCACCACTCTCCCCCCTCCCCCCCTTCCCCCCTCCTCCTCGATCGCATCACATTCCGAACACGTTGATTAACGACCATCCTCAAACAAAATGTATAAATGCATGCCGTGCGCGGCCGTTGCTTTTAGCCGAGCTTTTCGAAGCTTTTCCTCTGCGCCGAGCTTTCGAAGCTTTTCCTCTGCGCCGAGCTTTCGAAGCTTTTCCTCTGCGCCGAGCTTTCGAAGCTTTTCCTCTGCGCCGAGCTTTCGAAGCTTTTCCTCTGCGCCGAGCTTTCGAAGCTTTTCCTCTGCGCCGAGCTTTCGAAGCTTTTCCTCTGCGCCGAGCTTTCGAAGCTTTTCCTCTGCGCCGAGCTTTCGAAGCTTTTCCTCTGCGCCGAGCTTTCGAAGCTTTTCCTC